ACCTTTCTGATGCCACATGCTCTCGAGCTGCAAGCCACTGTGCTGGGGGAATGGCCCTGGGCTTTGTTCTCTGCATTCTTCTTTGGGGACTCTTTTATTAGCCTCATCCTTTTTTCGTGGAAGATAATACTTCTAACAGGCTTAGTCCTGCATAAATTCTCACTGTCGGCAGTCTGTCCTTCTCTTTACACAGCCTGTGTGATTCCTCCTGCTGGGAATAAATGACAAGTGTTGGGACAGTCCTGGGACGTTAAGAAGGAGATGGCTGCCTTCTGCTCACAATCCGTTCTCCATTCCCTTCATTTCCAGATTGTATCGAGATCCAGTTTCCCCAGAGAGTTCGGCATGGAGAGACTTTGCTGGTGCTTAGTTCATGGTTGTAACTGGCTGAAGAACAGTGTGCAGTGAACCCTGGTGGCTTTCGTGCTTTCTGTCCTTGACACTCCTTCCAGACAGGTGATGTGTCCCCTACCTGTGACTTGTACTTCAAGCTACTCGGTGTTCAAGATCTTCCTCATCTTCTTCATCGGCTTATATAAACCTGCAAGGCTACACCCTGCGTCCGTCAGAGAAAACATCACAGATACAGCAGGTGTGTAGGCAAGGGCAGGTGGTCCCCAAGGGTGGCGACACCATGCCACACAGAGCCTCATCCTAGGGCTGCCCTGCTCGCACGGGAAGGGGCTGTATTCTCACGTCCAGATGAGATTTTCTCGCGCTGCAGCTGTGCCCGTTAGCTCTCGTCCTGCTTTGAACGTCTAAAAAAAGTCTGACTGTCATCTCTGTCACCTTCCCTGTAGGATGTAGAAGGTGCAGTTAGATCCTCGCTTTTCAATTCACCACTTGCTTAATTCCACATTTATTTGATCTCCTGTCTTTTAAATACATCTATTTTCTTTTTCCGTGTATGTGGTTTCAGACTCACTAAGAGGGGAAGATGCAGCTGATCAGACCGGCAGTGCAGCCAGACTTTGGTCTGGAGTGCTTCAGCGTCTCCCGTAAGGTCTTTGTGGGCTGGGATTGTGGCGGGGGGACTGGTGAAACTTCATACTTTGACTTTGAGACAAAAGACCTGGGGTTTGTTCACCTTTACTGCTCTGCTCAGAATGACTGCGTGTAGCTGGTGGTGGTGGCCAAGACATATCAAGGAGGGTGGCCGTGTTAAATCTGGGACCCACATCAGGGCCTGGCTCTACCCCTCCTCCCGTCCCCCCAAGCCAGCTGCTCCACAGGCAGGGATGCTGCAGCTCGTGTGCCACCTTCCCTGTCACGGAGGGAGTGCTGAGCTGTCCAGGGCGATACACCACAGATTGTTTATGGGAAGAAAAATGAGTTTCAGAAGCAGTGCTTATCCTCACATCTGTCACATCTGCTAGCTGCTGGTGTTGGTCCTGCAGAGATGCAGCAGAGCAAATGAAATGAACAGTAAAACGAGGAAAACTTAAAACAGAAGTGAAGGAAACCCGTAGAATCACAGAATGGTTTGTGTTGGAAGGAACCTTAAAGATTGTCTCGTGCCAGCTTCCCCTGCCGTGCCTTGTCATCTGCTAGCACAGCCGTGGACCACTTGCATCATTGCAAGGAAATTAAAAATCTCACGAGAAGCCCCACCTGAAGCCCTCGGTTTTAAGGTGGTTGTTGCAGCCTGATCAAAGTTTGAGAGGAAAATACTGGTTCTAGTCCTGTGACAGACGAGCCATCGTTCATACCTGGTGCATCGAGACTGAGATACCCCCACTGCTTTCAGCGAAGAATCTATTTTAAACGCCTTTCTTAGCTAGTATTTTTTTCAGAAGAAAGAAAAAGGCTTGAGGCTAAACTTGATCCTCGCAGGCTGCATATTTCAATACTGGAAGGCTGTGACTCAGTGGCCTCTGGAAGCTCTCCAAGCTATCAGTAGCTCAAAGGAGGAATTAAAAACTCAACGAACTGCCTGTTCTGAAACTTGTTTTGTACATGCTGTGGAAGAGATGAGAGAATTGAATGAAGGCAGCCCTATCCAAGAATCGTTGGCTATAGAAAGTCAGAGCAAGCAATGAGCATTTACTTTAGTAAAATGCTTGGTCGTCTTTTAGTGAGCCTTTTTGCCAAGTTTATGTGGAAGAATTTGCCAAAACACCATGTAATAATTTCAGAGGTACCTAGTAGGCTTCCACACTTGGTCTTCCGTCTTTGACAGTCTCTATACAGAGATGTCAGAATACCTGTTTTCCCTCTCTAAATGGGAGCAAGGGATCAAGTAGCATTACTGATGTTCTTCCAGGCAGTTGGAAAAGCTGATGCAAACAAGGATATGTCCTGTGCTAGCCTGTGAAACCAGGCTTGGGAGTAGCAGGACGAATCTCAGGAAGATGAACCTGAGGCTGGATCTTAGACTCAGGTGATCAGTTCGTCAGAGCTCAGGGAAGGAGATGGTCCCTTTGGCTGACCCTCAGCCTCTGGACAAGGATGGTCCATGTTTCACTCTGCAGTCTCAGTCCCCAGATCTGCTTTGCCCTCATCCCAGATCTATGTAGGGTGGCTATCTTGGACCTGTCCATCCCCAGTGTCCATCCCTTACTGTCAAGCCCAAGACAAAAGAGAAGGAAAATCAGCAGCTCAAATTAAAATAGGAAACAAACTCTAAAGTTTCTGGTCGCTTCGGGAAATCAAGCAGGACAAGAGCTCTAATGCTTGCTGACAACAGAGCTTGCGATGCCAACCCAGGGAGTGAAGCAAGAGATCTGCTCTTAGGAGTCCCTAACTTGGAAAAAGAGAACATCAGGAAAAGACAGCACCAAGGTTCAGTGCCTTCAGTCGTGGCCTGTCAGGGTGCATCCCTGATCACAGCTGGGAAACACCATCCCACTCTATTTGCCATATTTTCTCGAGAGCGAGGGTTGACTGAGCTGGCCCACCCAAGAAAAGAGACTCAGTGAAGTGATCCTCCCAACTGAAGCTAAAGCCATCGCTGTCATGCTTGCTGTGGTTGCTGCACCTCGGGAGCGTGTTCTGAAGTGATCATCCCAGGATGGAAAGCTTATCAGAGAAAGACATTTTGGTCGCCTTTGGAAGGCTGACATTTGTCACCTTCTCAAAGGGCATCTCCAGCTGGAGGAGCTGGATCTGGCTATCTCTTCACCAACGCAGCAGAGAGAAAGATTTCTTTCAAGCTTGATGCCTAACAGCCAGAACAGGTCAGAAAGTGTTCAGCTGCCTTTTTCTTTGTGGATTTCTTGATCATAAAATGCTTCTTTGCTGAAGCTAAAATATTTTTCTAGGAATTTGCTAATTCAAACAAAGGTTTGTCCAGAAGAGACTTTCTGCTTCCAAAAGAGGGAATTCCTGGTTAATGGAGTGAGAGGGGATCGCTTGATTTAACGACCAGCTCAGTGAGTTTGAGCTCTCAGCTGCAATATAGCAGGACCCAGGTTGTGTCCTTGCTCCAGCAAATGCATCCTGCGCTTTCAAAGTGGAACAGCACTAGCAGGAGTGACTCACACAAGGATCTGCTGGGTCTTCATCTTACCTTGGCACAGGGAGGTCACCGAGCCTGAAAATCCGCTCTTTTAGCTGAATTCTCTGGCTGCTCATTGTCGACTGTCCAGACCAAGTCTGCAAGGTGAGAAGCCAACATGCTGGTGGGGACAGAAGTCTCTTGCTAGAGAACTTATAACCAGCTATAATGAAGCTTGGCCTTTTCCAGGTCTGCTGCCATGAACAGCAGCACTTGAGCTGCCTGGCTCTGCAGCCTTGTTGGTTTTTAACTCTTTTTTTGAGTTTTGCTTACTCGTATGTATTTTCCTTAGGCCAGCAGTTGAAGGTTCACGCTCCCCAAAATGTGCGTGTAGACAACTGCACGTCAATTACCTGGATGCTGCTGGAGCAGCAGAATTTGAGTTCACTTGTGCCGGCCACAAGTGCTGATTTCTCAAGCTAACCTGCCCTGGCTTCTGTTCCCCTTCTCTTCCTCCACAAATGTAAACTGATGGTTTTATTCTGGCCTTTCAACTATGTAAATACTGTTGCTTGACCAATATGCAGCTATTTTAGAGGGAGCAGATGTTTTTCACAGTAATGCAACAAACACTCTTCTTTTTTTGCCCTTTGCCTTAATTTTTCTCTCATGATGATTTCCCATCCAAATCTTCCATATTTCTGTGTTGCAGAGATTGTCCCCTTAAAGGGATATGCATTTCAAATGTACAGAGGAGGAAGAATGTAAATTAATCGGCTGTAGGTGGGTAAGCAGATTGGCAGTGGGGGCTCATGCTCCTCCCCGTGAGTGGCGACAGAGCTGTTCCGTTTCAAAGAATAATCTTCCATCAGAAAAATACAGAAAAAAGTGCACCATCCAATACTTTAATCTTCCAGCATGGCTGAGTGAGCTTCAGCCTTTGGTAAAGGGTTTAGGCTTTACTGTTGCCAACGGTAACACCAGTCCCAGCCTTTCGGGAAGCCTCAGCTCCACAACCACCACCCAAGCAAGACCCTGCAGGTGGGTGGCTGTGGCTGCATGCCTCGAAGTGCCCTCCGGCTATAGGGACACTAATTGTTACTATTTGTACACCTGGCTGGAAAAAAAAATCATACAAAGGAGTTTCACATGCTTCTGCTTGCCTTTTGCTTTTACCAGTTTGCCATGATTGCCAGGTGGTCACCTTCCTTGTCTGGGAGGGGAAAAGGGAAGAGTTTGCTTCCAGAGTATTCGCTGGGAAGAGTTTCCTTCCAGCTGCTTACCGGGTGTGGGAATGCCTTGAGGTTCCTTTAGGAAACATAAGTGGATCTAGGGTTATTGCAATGGGAAACCCATCACAGATTATGCAGAAAGACTGCATGTCTTCACTGTGCTGCTTCTCAACAACTTGTGTTACTCCCTGTGGTTTTTTCCAGCTGGAAGAACAGGGTGGTGCCACAGATATTTTCATTCTTATTGACTATTAGGCTAGAGGCACAACTGTCAGCGTGCAGGGAAGGCAAGCATTGGTAAGTAATCTGTCAAAAACATCTCTCTTCTTCAGAGTCTCCTGAAATTGGGCCCTCGGTCGTCGTTCACACCACTGTGACGTTTGGAAGCCAGCACCTGGATTCAGACCCTGCAGAGGTGCAGCAGTTAATTCTCAGTCACCTGGAGAGGGTTGTGCCATCCCTACCGAAAGCAGCCAGCGTCAAGTGTCAGAAGTGGAGATACTCTCAGGTACTCTGTGGTGGGAGGATGCTGCTGGGGCAGTGTGTCACGTCCCGCCCAGGAAGGAGGGATAAGTGACTTGGATTTGTAATTCCCCACTGGAGTGGACAACAGGGAGACAAGTCTCAAGGTCCATACATAAATATTTATTAATTTCTCACAGCGTATAGATCGGACTTAGTTTTTAGCTACATGACACGTGTAAGGCTTAATGATAACCAGGAAAAGACTGGGTGTACAACAAACTGCAGCACGCTGCATGTTAATTAATGATAACAAGGAGAAGGGACGATAACAACTTATAATAGGCAGTATTATACCTAACTACAAGAAAGAAACTTAAGCATAAACTAAGTAAAAATGTCAAACTAAGTAAAAATGTAAAACGCCAAGAAATGTTCAAGGCAAACGTTCACACGTCTGTCTGCTACACAGTGCCGTAGTAGACTTGTGGCATATCACAAGGAACAGGACGTCATACAACCTAGTGGTTTTCATTGTCAGGGAGAAGAGAAAAGGTGATGGTTGCTCAGTATCCGTAGTGGATTCCTCCACGTAGCCATGAGCAGCACCCAAGGCTGGCCAACGACAGCAAGATCATTTCTAGTCGTCTTTTTACGGAGTGGACCCGGCTCAGCAGTAAGCCGTGCAGCATCCCTGGTAAGCAGGATGCAGGAGCAGTGCTCAGGAAGGAAGTAAACCCCACATACTTAAAAATATGGCTTAATCTGTCTTTTTCTGTATCCAAAAGTATGTGATATTCTTAGCAAACTTCCCACCCTACCACGTAGTTGCGGAAGTCCTTGCCTTCAAATGTACTACTTGTTGTTATTTGATTTGGCCCAGTTCGATCTAGCACTATGTTATGCGAAAAGTATTTGAAAGTAAACTGCCTAAGGGGAATAATAGCAAAAAATGTATATTTTACAGACTTCTTTTTAAAATCCAAGGAAATTGTTGGCAATTTCCTAAAGTACTGGAACGTATCTACATGTTTACCCAAAGCCTCTTAAGTTAAATTACATTGGTGAAGTTGAATGTGGAAGTTGATGCAAAATATTTACTTAAAACAGTCCTCTAAATTTTTTTCCTTTTATGAAGTCTGGAAAAGTCACTGTAGATGACTGTTGTGAAGTCTACTCATACCCCTTGATCTGCATCCAATTTAGGAGCCTGGTCTCACTAGCACAAAGTTTATTTTTCTGCGAGTTAGGTATTGGTATTTTGCAAATCACTTCCCAGCACAAAGTGTGTTTTCTTAGTTGTCGCATAAAAACGACTTTATCATAGGTTTTAATGTTTCAGATGACTCATACGAAAATCATAGTGTGTTTTATATATTCCTCTTTATCAGTTCAGGTGGGATTTTCGCAAGTATCTCTGTGCAGTTATCGCTGTTAAGGCATCCTTTTCTGGTCTGTTCTTCTGCATTATCTGTTACCTTTCTGCTTCAAAAGGAGGAGAAGAATTGGATCTAACTCCCAACAGACATACACTTGGTTGACCAACTCTAGAAAGGGCTCCCAAAACAAAGTATAAAAGTATTTTTAAACAGAATTAATATACCCTGGGTACTGCTGCTATTATGGAGCACTATCATAAAATTTGTCAAATTCAGCTACTTTGTTTATGTGTGCAAGCAAAGGGCTTGATATGCCTTTTCCTTGCATTACTCACCCTTACCTAGCGTCGAAGGTGACATATAAGTTTATCCGTTGTATATGGCCCATTCTGATTTATTTCCCCATGAAAATATGGATAAAGGAAAAGACAAGAAGGACAGTTACTTTTTTACTACTGAATATATGTTAAAAAAAAGTCTCAATTGCCTTCTACCAAACAACTGTGCTTTTTGAATCCTGGCAAAATTATGGCCGTGCGGGTTTTATTATAAGCTTGTAGCTGTTTCTTCATCTTTTAGAGGTGGCTGGAACGGTGACTGTAGGCGTGAGCTCTTACTTTTCGCAATTGCTTCAAAATTGTTGTCCTCTTAAATCTCTAGGTGCGCGTCCTGTTTTCCCCATTTAAAAATTCAGGCAGCTGGACGCTGCTCTTATAATTTTCTGAAAAGCACCGTACAATTTACAGCTCTTCTTGCTTTCCTCTTGTGCCTCTGTTGCCTTCTACTAGCCAAAACCACCGACTTCAGCAGCGGCTCATGCTTTATGGCTGTGCCACTGGAGGAATTGTCCTCAGTCTTTAATTCGGCAGATGAATGTCAGTATGTCTTAGATTGCAAATAAATCAGCGTGGGTCAGATCTGAGTAAAGAGATCGCTGTTGCCACCCTATAAAATAATCACTCCCTCAATTAAATATCTGGGACAGAGCTCTCTCTTTCTCTTAAAGCTATCTTTACTTTCAGCTCTAATAAGCTGTTGCTACAGAAGCAAAAGGAACTGATAAGATGGATGCATCTTTCCCCTGACTTTTTTAGATGGGCTTTATCCTACTTGTTAATTAAATCCTGCTGTAGCCTTCTTCACATGGCCAAACACAATCCTGGGATTAAAATGCAGACATTACAATTATCCGTGGCAGATGAGGGATTAGGACTTCCAAACTTCGACCGACACTACTTAGCAGCACAGCTGCAATTCTGGATCCCCTGCTTTAATTACGATAAGGCACTAATAGCATTCAGAGCCAACAGCTTCCCAGCCCAATCACATCCCTTGGATAGAGTCGCTCGATCTGTGTAAAGAGTACTGGGAAGACACAGGCTCGTAGAATTTGGAGAGCTTTAGAGACAACCTCAGGAGGGACCTCGGGACCTCTTCAGGTCGCTGGTCCAACCTGTTGCTCAAAGCAGAGCTGCTGCCAGCACTAGGTGAGTTTGACCGTGTAGCTGCAACTGGAATCTTGAAGGATGGAGATCCAACAGGCTGTGCCTTATAGCCTAAGGTAATTGGGAATGTACATTGGACAACACCTTCAGAACTTGAAGGAGGGGCAGGATCATTCCTTTCTCCAGCCACTGTGTCTAGAATGAGGGCCTTTACCACATCGAGCATGCAATCCTGCCACAAAGACTAAAAGGTGCAGGCTGGGACATGAAAATACCGACGCGGTGATCAGTATGACAGACCAGAAGCTGTTTGGTACGGCCAGCGTCAAATAAGCACTCGGTAGTCAAGAAGGAAGGATGCTCGAAAAGCCTTTTTCTGCTAAACCTTTCTTCATTGTTTATGCTCAGTGACCTCGATCTGTAAGAAAAATTTAGGAGTAAATTAAGTGCAGACCTAAAATTAGTCTGAGAAAGACCATTCACCGGCGCTGCTCTGGGATGCACTGATTTAGTACAACGTGGACATTCAGCCTTTGCATGTAGGTTTGGAAGAGGTTTCAACAATGTGCAACACAGCAAAGACCATCTCTGACTGGATTTACTGTACATGGCTACTCTCTTCTGTTGAGTTGAGTAACGGAGAATGGGTCTCAACTGGCTGCAAATTCATTTCATATAACCTCCAAAACATTTCTTTGGACCAAGAAATGATCAATCAAAAGATGTCTTCTGCTCTACTGCTGTGTTTCTACTCTTTTTTTTTTTTTTTGTCCCTCTCTCTCTGGCTTTCTAGACATTTTTTCCTCTTTTTCAACATTTCATCCTTATGGGTCTTGCTTTGTCACTCCTTTTGTCTGACTGTTTCTTCCCACCTTTCTCCTCCAATTACTTCATCTTCAGGCTGTCCTGCCTCCTTATCTTCTTTATCCATTCTGCCTGAGCCTGCCTTGCCCGTGTGTTTACCTTTAGGCCAGTGCTGCCACCTTCTCTCTCTTCTGAGATTCACCGGCGCTGCTCTGGGATGCACTGTTTTAGTACAACGTGGACATTCAGCCTTTGCA